AGGAGTAGGAGTAGAAGGAAGAGGAGGAGGAGGATAAGGAGGATAAATATGATACGGAGGGTAAGGAAAAATGAGGAGGAGAAGGAGGATAAGGACAGGAGGATGATGATAAGGAAAGGTAAGGAGGAGGCGGAACAGGAGGAGAAGGAGCAGGATAAGGAGGATAGGAGGATCTGGAGGATAAGGAAAAGAGAGGAGGAGAAGGATAATAAGGGACGGAGGATGAGGATAAGGAAAGGTGAAGAGAAGAAGGAGGAGGACCACAAGGAACAACGAGGAGGAGAAGGAGGAGGATGAGGAAAGGAAGAATCCTCTCGACGTGCTCGATCGACTCCGGCGTCGTCGTCGACATGATGGCATTGAAGAGTTGATCGGCCATCGCGCGCGGTGTCCGCGCGCGGCGCGTCACCTCCTCCAGGATCTGAAAACCCTCGAGGACGAACGGCGGCGGAGGAGAAGGAGGAGAACGAGCAACAGCAGGAGGGGGGAAGGTGGAGGAGGAGGAGGAGGAGGAGGAGGAGGAGGAGGAGGAGGAGGAGGGGGGGGGAGGGAGAAGGAGAGAGGAGGAAATCAGGGAATAGGGAAGTTTTGGTTTGTTTGTTGCAAGCAGTCCTGGCGGGATACAGGCAGCCCTCCTCCCGCATGTCGTTGTACCACGCGTACCTGGGATGGAGGGGCAGGGCGAGGCGAACAAAAAACAACGTAACAGAAACTTGAACCGAAAAACATCAGGGGCCCGTGCGGGCACGAAACCAGCGGCTCCGCCCAGATCATCAGGATCGCGAACGGGTCGCGGCGGCCGTCGAAGCGAGGGTGATACAACGGGACGAGCCACACCTCCGGCACCCTGCCGCGACCGTACGGGGACTCCCATGCCTGGAAGTGCCAGCCAGATGGCGGCTGCCGACGCGGCACGGGCAGCTCCATATAGCCAGGAGCCCACCATGGCAGCCGCGCCTCCTGCGCCCGCGGCGGCAGTCTCGGGCGGGGCGGTGCGATGGGGTCCCCGCGAAAGTGATCGCCCAGGTCCAGCCCCTCAAAAAAGGAATTGGATAGCTGCCCCGGGCGCTCCCCGCGGGGGGGCGCGCGCCCCGCGGGGGGAGACGGCGCTCGCGGCGCCGAAAACCAGAGGGCAGAGCGGAAGGCTAAGGGGACGCCTGGGCCGCTCCAGTCCATCCTGCTCGAGCCCGGAGGAAGGGTGGAGGGGGGGGAAGGAGGAGGGTGGCGAGGAGGAAGGAGAGCGGCGAGGAGGGAGGCTTTCTCCTCGGGTTTGGGCCCACCTTGAGTTTTGGGAGGGGGGGGGGAGAGGGAGGCGGAGGAGGGATGCCCATCCTCCGAAGGTTTCGGGCCCATCTTGGGCGCGTCTGGACCAGAATCCCACGAGCCCTTTGGGCGACAGGTGGTCTAACGAGGGTCGCTTTCCTCTTCCACAACCCCTGCTTCCCCTTCGGGAAGGGGTTCACCCCTCCCCCTATACCCCCTCCCCTGGACCTGGACGGGGGGAGGCTGCGACGCATTGAAGGGTGTTTTTTTCGGCCCCTGGGAGCGTCACGAGGATCGTGGCCACCGAGGGGGGGGCCAACATAAGGGAACCCCCTCCTCCCAATATGGCCCCAAGAGGCCCTCCAAGGCTCCCAAGAGGCTCCCAAGAGGGCCCAAAGAGCGCCCCAAGAAGCCCCAGGAGGCCTCCAAGAGGCACCCGAGAGGCCCTCTGGAGGCCCCCGAGCGGCCTCAGAAAACCCAAAATGATTTCCCAGATGGCTCAGATAGCCCAAGCTGGCTCAAGATAGCTCCCAAAATGATCCAAACCTCCCCAACACCGCTCCAACACGGCTCGAGATGACCACGGAGCCTCCCAAGCCCCCTCGTTGTTTGACTATGGGTGTTTCTTCCTCTCTCCCCCCTGCCAGCTCTCGCGGGCATCGTTTATGGATGGGCTGGTGGGGACTCGCGAAGCGTCACGAATTTCGACGCGGATCCAGCCGTGTACGAGGACGCCTCAGGAGGCTCAAAAACATGTTTTACATTTCCTATCACCAGTGAACGATCCTCGGGGCGGCACTCCCGCTCCCGCTCTCGTTCCCGCTCTTTCTCTCTCTCTCTCTCTCTCTCTCTCTCTCTCTCTCTCTCTCTCTTTCTCTCTCCTCTTCCTCCCCCGCTTCCTCCTCATCCTCCTCCTCGGGGCTGTTCTTTTTTTTCCCCGCGCCGTGGATTTCGAGGCAGATCTATCCGTGGCCACGAGGCCGCCTCGCAGGAGACGTATTCAAAAAACAAACAAAAAACATAAACCCATGCACCTCGATCATCAGCGGTGGCGGGAGGTGAGCTTTTCTAGAGCGAGGAGGTGAGTTTTTTTCTTCTGGAGCGGGAGGTGAGTTGTTCTCGGTCAGGGGGGGAGAGGAGGTGAGTTTTTTTCTAGGGCCTTGACTCGCACGAATTATCAGCCCTGGGGCCGCCTATATCAGCTAGAAACAGAGGCGACGCGGGCCCGAGGGGCCCGCAGAGACCCCCCGCCAATCAAGCGCGGCACCGCCGAGCCAGTGCCCCGCTTAATTCGACAGCGCTCCCGCGGCACAATTCATTGGTTTAGTGTATAAGTATGTACCATTTGTTACACGAAGTTGTTTTAATTCTGCTTCTCTTGTGTTAGTCATTGGGCTCCGGCACGTTTGAAAAATTAATCATCGACAGACACTTAGGAGCCTCTGGGTGGCTGTCTGACGTGACGGGGCCGAGCTCAGGTGCCGACGGGCCCATTCCACCGCCTGAGTCATCATCGGGGGGGGCCTGGGGCTGGCGCCTCACGCTCGTTCTCTTCTTCCATGATGTCCATGGTGCTGGTGCTGTCTACGCCGCCTCCTCCCCCTGCTGGTTTCTGCGGCCGCCGCGGCTCGGGGGGGCCCTGGCCCCGCTCGGCGGGGGCGCGATCCACCGAGCGCCCTGCCGCGCCCTTCAATGGGCCCAATGCTGGCGATGGAAGCCCGTCTGCGATGGCCGCCTGGCTGTCTGACGTGACGGGGCTGAGCTCAGGTGCTGCCGGGCCCATTCCACCCCCTGAATCCTCACCGGAAGGCGCCTGAGGCTGGCGTTGGCTGCCGCTGTCTCTTCTTCCAGATATGGGGCATCATGGCGAGAAAATCGCCGCGCAAGGGGGGCGATCACAGCCCGCCAGGCATGCGCCTACTCATGCCCAAGGGATGGGCGAGACTGCGTCCTTGATGCTGGCGCTCTTGTAGATCGGTGGCCGGCTGTGCCCAAGGTGCTTGCCTCGGCCCCCCCTCTGGCGCGCCGACGCTCTCGCGCAGGCTGAGCTCGAGGGCGCCCGCGAAGTGGTCGCGCTGCTGTCCCAGCTCCAGCATGTCGCGCCCCATCAGCATGCCAACCGCGGTGCCCTGCAGGTGCATGGGGGGCTGGTCGAGCGTCCGACCGCTGATCCTGTCCACTGTGGCATGCCAGAGCTCGTCTGGCACTGCATGCGGGACCTCCTTGTCGTAGTGCAACTGGGGCACTGGCTACGTGTCGTTCTCGCCCGCATCACAACCTGCTTCAGCAGGTGCTTGTCGCCGCCTCCTCAGTGCACATTGCCTTCCTCGGGCCGCTCTGCGGCATGCTGCTCGCGACTTGGGCATCTTCTCGATGGCGGTGGGCGGCTCCATGGCCGCTGGTCTGCGCAGGACTCGCCATTTGAGCTGGATGGGGCCTGCCATTCAGCTTGAGCCTGACTCCGATGTGGGGCATCCAGGGCACTGACCTGAGCAGCTCCAGCTCGTCGAAGTACGGTGCGAGGCCCTGCGAGGCCAGCGCGTAGTCTAGGCAGCGCGCTGTGCCTTCTGCTGGAAAGCACGCGGGGGCGCCATCCTCTGCGGCCACAGCCTGCGCGCTCAGCGCCCTCGGCCAGATGCTGTCGTTGAGTTCCGACGGCCATAGGGCTGCCCGCGGGCCCCCCCGGACTGCCATCTTCTCCTACCGCGACGTCGCTGCCATCTTCGTCGAGGTAGTTCTCGCCAAAGCTGGCGAGCTGGTCCTGTAAGTTCAGCGTGCTACGGGCGATGGCGCAGGTGCCTCCACGCATGCCCTCGCCTTCTCCTGGGCGCGCCTTTGTCCAGTAGCGTCGCAGCCCACTCTTTTTCAAGGCCGCTCTGGCCTTGCTGATCTGCGCTGGCTGGCGCGGGTGGTTCTCCGCGACGCCGACGATGTTTATATCCTTCGCGCCGCTGGTCTCCCCGGGGCAGCCGTGGGCCTGGGGGCCCCAAGCCGTAACATTGAATAAACAACATGGCATTGGCGGCGAGCCTTCTTCGTGCCCGCCCGCCTGCGACTACCCTGCAGATTGGTCGCGTCGCCCTTCCTCAACCACATTGTCCGCTCGCTTGGCCTGTGCAACCTTCTCTCGTGCTTGCTGGATGTGAGCTTCCACTCGGGCAAGTCGTTCTGCTTTGCCCTTGCTTGCATCTGCTTTAGCTGCTTATCCTGGAGCTGCCTCTGCGGCGCCAGGGGGCGTGGCCGCTGCTGCAGATCCTGCGGCGGTGGAACCTCCTTGCTGGTCCCGTTGTGGCGCTGGGCTGGGGCAGGGCTTCTTTCCTGGTGGGCCCCCTGGCGCTTCGGATGGCCCTGCTGCATCTGCTTGGCGCTTGGCGCGGGCCTGTTCGATCTGGCGCAGCTGCTCCTGGTGCTTGGCGGTCTCCTCTTCGAGGTGCCGCACGTGCTGTGCCGTCTCCGGCTCGTGCTCCTTGACCTTCTGCGCCATGGCCTCACCTTCCGCCTTGTCTGCTCGCCAGACCTCGTTGTCAGGTTCTGCCCACTTGTGGGAGTCGTCTGGCTCGTTCTCGAACTGTTCCAGGAGGGCGGAAAGTGCTGTCTTATCTGCAGGTGCTGGTTCAGCTGGAGTGGTCTCTGGCTTGCCGACCTTGGCCTTGAGCTTGTCGAACTCTTCTTCCGCGACGATGGAGGCTTCCATTGCGTCTTGCAGCTTGCGTTCGCTCTCGGCCAGGTAGTTACTGTTTGGCGCTCTCCACTCGTTCTCCTGCTGAGCGCACTCCCTTCTGGATCTTGTCCAGCCTCCTGGCTGCTGCTTCCACTGCTTTGGGCCCGACTGGTGGTTCTGCAGCTGGCTGCTGAACTGCCGCCAGGTCTGACCAGACCGCCCCGTAGTGGGTGCGGAACGGGTCGTCCTTGCCGAGTTTGTTGTAGGCGGCGGCGGCTGCAGCTTGGAGGCTGACTGAGAGGTCCTGTTGGCCGCCTCGGCTTTTGACTCCAGCTCCTCCCGGCTGCCATCCGTCCGCCCGCGAGACCCTCGGCGCGCCACTACCTCCTGCTCCTCCCCAAGGGGGGTTGGGCCTGCTGCCTTCGTCGTCCTTGAATATGAGGCCCGTTGGCTCCGCAAATTCAGGTGTTCTCCTTGCTGGTGATGTTCCTGCAGTAGCGCCACCTGCTGCACCCGCCACACACCACGTAGCTGCTGCGAGGAGGACGGCTGCCGCTGCCGCTCCTCCCGCTCCTCCATGGAGCCTTTTGGCCATGCAGAACCCCCGTCCAGGCCTTGCCCCACCCCGCGTCCGCTGCCGTCAAGCCCCATGGCTGTTGCGGTGCAGCGCGCGCGCCCGACGCCCGTCTGAAGGCTGTCCTCGGTCCAGACGTCTCCCTGCGGCCTGGAGGCTGGACAACCCCCCAGGTCGTCACCTTGAGCCAAAAATGGCTACGGGGAGAGGAAGGAGGAGCACGAGGAGGAGGAGGAGGAGAAGGAGGAGGAGGATGAGGAGGTGGAGGATGGGCGGGCCTTTGTTTCCCAGCTGAGACTCAACTGTGAGAAACAGGGGGGATCATCCGAGGTTTTCCCTATGTTCTGAGAGGCCACACTTGTCGGGCGGAACTCTGGGATAAGGCGAGCTATCTTTTCCAGCACCCCCGGAAACCCCTCGACGAGGCGCAGCCGATGGAAACCCACCAGAGTTGAGAAACAAACCCAGCAGTTGCCGAAAACCCGTCGTCGTGAACATCGTCGTCGTCGTCGTCGTGGTCGTCGTGGTCGTGGTCGTGGTCGTGGTCGAGGTCGAGGTCGTTGTCATGGTCGTCGCCGTCTGAAACGAGGTCAGCGGCGGCAGTGGCGACGTCCGCCAGAGGGGCGGCTGTGGCCGCGCGGCGGCGGCGGGCGTTGCCTCCGAGGGCTCGCCTCTTGGAGCCCAGGAGCATGAACCTGGGGGCGGCGGGGGCGCAGACTCCCTCCTCGTCCTCCCTCCTCCCCCTCCTTCTCGTCCTCCTTCCGCCTCCTCCTCCTCCTCCTCCTCCTCCCTCCACTTCCTCCTCTTGCTCCTCCTCCTCCTGCTCCTCCCCCTCCTCCTCCTCGTCCCTCCAATTCCACCTCCCACCTTCCCTCCTCCTCCTCCTCCTCCTCTTCCTCCTCCTCCTCCTCTCCTCCTCCCTCCTCCCTCCTACTACACTACTACTACTTACTACTACTATACTACAGAAGCATCCCGTCAAGTCTCCTCCCCCTCCCCTCCTCCTCCTCCTCTCCTCCTCCTCCTCCTCCTCATCCTCCTCCTTCCCCTCCTCATCCGCATCCTGCTCCTCCTCCTCATCCACCTCCTCCTCGTCCTGCTCCTCTCGTCCTCTTCTCTCCCTCCCCCCCTCACCTCCTCCTCCTCCTCCTCTCCCCTCCTCCTGCTCCTCCTCCTCGTCCTCCTCCTCCTCCTCACTGTCCACATCCGCCTCCTCCTCATCCTCCCTCACCTCCTCCTCCTCCTGCTCCTCCTCCTCCTCCTCATCCATCCTCCCTTCGTCCTCCTCCTCCTCGTCCTCCTCCCTCCTCCCTCCTCCCTCCTTCGTCCTCCCTCCTACCTCCTCCCTCCTACCTCCTCCCTCCTCTTACTCCTCCGCCTCCTCCTCCTCTTCCTACTCCTCCTCCAGCCGTTTCCTCCTCCAGCCCCTACTCATCCTCCTCGTCCTCCCCCTCCTCCTCGTCCTCCTCGCCCTTCCTCGCCCTCCTCGTCCTTCATCTCATCACCTTGATCCATCATCCTGGATCACCCCCTCCTCTCTGCCCGAGGGGGGAGGGAAAGTTCGGGTTCGGGGTTGGAAGTTTTCAGACGTCTTCTCCGGTTCTGGGAGGCGTTCCAGCCTCGCGGGGTGCTTTCCACATCCGCGCCTCAGCGAGTGCGGTCCAGGTGCCCAGAACGGTGTGAACGGCCGCCGGAGAGCTGAATTATGAGCCGAAAACCACGGGACAACGACAAGGGAGGGGGGGGCTCGGCCTTGCACGTGGTCGAAGCCGGGAGCTCCGCGCGCACGCGACACTTAGCCTCTCGAACGTCATTCTCTCAACCTGTTTCTCTCCCTCCGCCTGCTCAATCACCACCCATTCCCTTCCTCTTCCTCCTCCTCCTCCTCCTCCTGGTCCTCTTCCTCCTCCTCCTCCTCACCATCTGCCCTCCTTATCCTCCTCTTCCTCCTCCTCCTCCTCCTCCTACTACTACTAGGTCGTTTCATCCTCATCCTACTCCTGCCCATGTTCCTCATCCCCCTGTTTCTCTCCTCCTTGCACATCCCACCTCACCCCCTCCTTCTATCTATCCATCCATCCGTACCTTCTCCTTTCCCCTCTTCCCCCACATTTCCCCCCACACATCATCCTCATCCACCTCCTCACGAGCCGGCTTCATCCAGCCTCCTCCTCCTCCTCATCATCATCATCATCATCAGCATCATCATCATCAGCAGCATCATCATCGTCATCATCCTCACCGTCATCATTATCGTCGTCATCATCAGCATCAGCACAATCATCAGTCAGCACCATCATCATGGTCATCACCAACAGCATCAACAGCACCATGCGTATCATCATCAGCATCAATATCATCGTCAGCTTCTTTATCATCATCATCATCGTCGTCATCATCATCATCGTCATCATCATAATCATCATGATCCTCATCATCATCATCATCATCATCATCATCATCATAATTAACATCATAATCATCATCAGCGGCATCATCGACATCATCATCACCATCACCATCATAACAATCATATTCACCAGCATCATCATCATCACCTCCATGACAACAACCACCAACAGCATCAGTATCATCATCATCGACAGCATCAGCATCAGCATCAGCATCGGCATCATCATCATCGTCATCAGCATCGTCATCAGCATCGTCATCATCAGCATCAGCATCAGCAGCATCATCAGCATCATCATGGTCATCATCATCAGCACCAGCAGCATCATCATCATCATCATCATCATCATCATCATCGTCAGTATCTTTACCATCATCATCCTCGTCGGTATCATCATCATCATCATCATCATCATCATCATAATCATCATCATAACCAACACCATCATCCACATCATCATCACCATCACCATCATAACCATCGTCTTCACAAACATAATCACCAACAACTTCATAACAACAACCACCAACAGCGTCATCATCACCAGCACCACCGCCACCCCCGTCATCGTCAGCATCATCATGTTCAACATAACTAATTAGTCATCATCGCCGTCAGCATCATCAGCGTCGCCAGCATGCACGGCAACATCAGCCGCATCATCATTACCATCATCAGCAACATCGTCATCATCGTGAGTGCCATCGTCATCGTCGTGTCCATCGTCATCACCGCCAGCATTAGCATCGTAATCGGAATCAGCATCGTCAGTATCATCATAATGTACATGGTCATCGTCATCAGCATCATCACCATATCCAGCACCATCATCATCATCACCATCATCATCATACAGAGCGTCGTCATTATCACCCGCATAACTCGTCGTCATCATCATACGCGTCATCGTCCTCCACATCCCCATCCTCATCCTCATCCGCATCCTCGTTACCACCACAGTCACCATCATCACTACTAACAACACCGTTGCCAACACGACCACCAGCATCGCCATCGTCTGTATCAGCATCATGACCAACATCGCCATCACCATTACCATCATCAGCATCATCATCATCACAAGCGACATCATCACCATTAGCATCATCCGCATTACTGGCATCATAATGATCAAGCTCATCAGCATCAGCATCCTGATCATGCTCACCACCACCGTCATCACCTTCAGTAACATCATCATTACCAACAACATGATCCTCATCGTCGCCATCAAATTCACCATTGTCAACATCATGTTCACCGTCATCATCCTCACCATCATCGTCGTCGTCGCCGCCAGCATCATGTACCGCAGTGGTGGGTACTGTCTTCGGTGGAGCTCCCGATTGGCCACGAAACGCTATCTTTCGTTTTTTCCCAACCCTCCTGCGTTGGGTACTCGTTTTGAATAGAGCACTGCGGTCTCCACCTTCCTTCCTTCCCGCCTCCTCCTCCTCTCTTCCCTCTTCATATCCTCTCTTGCTTCCCTTCTCCAACTCTCTTCGCTCCTCCTCTTCTCTCTTGCATCCCTTCTCCTCTCTTCGCTCCCCCTCTCTTGTTTCCCTTAGCCTCCTCTCTTCGCTCGTCCTCTTCTCTCTTGTTTTTTACGTCATCCCCCTGGGGCTGCGATCTGTGAAACTGTCGCCACTTCCTAGGGCTGCTGGTGGGTCCAGCGGAGTGAGGCACCACGCAGATTCAGATTAGACCTCGCCATCCCTGGGGGGCTGCGATCTGCGACACTGTCGTCACTTTCGAGGGCTGCTGGTGGGTCCAGCGGAGTGAGGCACCACGCAGATTCAGATTAGACCTCGCCATCCCTGGGGGGCTGCGATCTGCGAAACTGTCGTCACTTTCGAGGGCTGCTGGTGGGTCCAGCGGAGTGAGGCACCACGCAGATTCAGATTAGACCTCGACTTTCGAGGGCTGCTGGTGGGTCCAGCGGAGTGAGGCACCACGCAGATTCAGATTAGACCTCGCCATCCCTGGGGGTTTGCGATCTGCGAAATTGTCGTCACTTTCGAGGGCTGCTGGTGGGTCCAGCGGAGTGAGGCACCACGCAGATTCAGATTAGACCTCGCCGTCCCTGGGGGGCTGCGATCTGCGAAACTGTCGTCACTTTCGAGGGCTGCTGGTGGGTCCAGCGGAGTGAGGCACCACGCAGATTCAGATTAGACCTCGCCATCCCTGGGGGGCTGCGATCTGCGAACTGTACGCCACATTCGAGGGCTGCTGGTGGGTCCAGCGGAGTGAGGCACCACGCAGATTCAGATTAGACCTCGCCATCCCTGGGGGGCTGCGATCTGCGAAACTGTCGCCACATTCGAGGGCTGAGGGTGGGTCCAGCGGAGTGAGGCACCACGCAGATTCAGATTAGACCTCGCCATCCCTGGGGGGCTGCGATCTGCGACACTGACGCCACATTCGAGGGCTGCTGGTTGCCAAACTGTCGCCACATTCGAGGGCTGCTGGTGGGTCCAGCGGGGTGAGGCACCACGCAGATTCAGATTCCATCTTGTCGCCACTGCTGGCAAACCTTGCGGAGAAACTGCCAAGTTCAGCTCCCGCACTGCAACATGCAGGAAGGAGGCAGAGAAGCTGGCGCACGAGCTAGGTCTCGATCGCTTCCTGCACTCGATATAAACAGGTATGATCCTGTGGACAGGCAGCAGGCATGCGTTGACCGAGCTCCTGCAAAAACGAAGCAGTCTCTTGCTTCCTCCCTCACTCTTTCATGATCATCCGAGCTCCTGCAAAAACGAAGCAGTCTCTTGCTTCCTCCCTCCTCTTTCATCATCGCCGCCCTCCCACCTGTTACCTGATGCATTCATGGTGCTGCTGCTGCGATGGCTCCTCGCCCCTTCCTACTGGGTTCGTCCTTCCCCTGTCCCTCGTTCCCGCCCCCGCTAGTGTTTCACAAGCCTTGAGACAAACTCCTGGTCTCATCGATTGCTGTTCTGTGAGTCGTGCAACATTACGCATCCCATGTAGGTCGCAGTACAAATCGCCGCGCCTGCACTGTCACGGATCCTGCGAATGTTTCCCTACTCCGCTTGCCACTTGATGCCATTGGGTTGGGTACGTCGCAGGGAAATTTTCCCAACCCTCCTGCGTTGGGTACTCGTTTTGAATAGAGCACTGTGGTGTGGTCTCCACCTTCCTCCTCCTCCCGCCTCCTCCTCTGCTCTCTTGCGGGAGGGGCTGCGATCTGTGAAACTGTCGCCACATTCGAGGGCTGCTGGGGGGCCCGGCGGAGTGACGCCCTACGGGGACTCAGGTTAGACC